AGGAATGTCATTCTGACCTTTCGCCTGGCTTTCTCCTCTGAAGCAGGTCATAAAACCCTTATGTGAGAGGTGCCTCCCTTATACCTGGAGGAAAGGAGCATCCCTATCTCTGAAGATAAAAGGCTGCTAAGAAGAATCCTAATAAACAGGCCTTGGTGAGTTCCTCCCAGCTAACTACACTTACCTTGTGTTCTTTGATCTATCATATTTCTACATGACTGTCCACTCTTCATCAAAGCTAGCATAAAAATACTTAGTCTGTTTCTTTGGGTCTTTACTTCCTTATGAAGGCTCCAGGTCATATAAAACTTATCTATATATATGAAAGCCTAAGCGATTGGCAGAACGGCCGACCAGCTGGTAGCTATGATGAGCACTGACCACCAGGGGGAAGACACTCAATACAGGAGCTGCCGAGTGACAGCAACTTTGCAGAGTGCCTTCTCACACACCAGGACCCCTCAGGGGATGTTGGACTGTTTGTTTTAGCCCAATCCTCACAGACCATGCCAAGGGACCCCATCGGTGCACAAATCTGTGCTCTGTGCCTCTAGTATTAAATAAATTTGCATGATTTTCTTCTGTTAATCTATTTTAATTTTCAAATCCAGCTAGGGACTCCAAATGGGTCAAGAAAATTTTTTTTCTCTCCTATAGTATAAATACATATAATATATAATGTGTGGGGTGATATCTTAAAATTGCAAATAAAATTCTGTCCTTCCAAAATTTTCACTCAGTGTTTTTGTCACCTACTAATGATTCTAGTCTGAATTAACTACTACTATAGTAGTCACAGAATAGTGATTTCTAATTCCATTATTTCCTTCACACATGTTAGTTGGTATTCTACCGTAAGAGGAGCTTCCCTTTCTCCGCCCCCCCCCCTTTATTTATTTTTTTTGTTTAAGTATAGCTTACCCATTTGATTCTTAAATACCCTGTTTCAAGCCTGGTCCTGGGTCATTCAGACATGCCCTCATCATTTTTTTTTTTATAGCATCTTCTTAGTTGATGGCACCACAAAATGTTCCAGGACTTTCTTTTTTTTTTTTTTAAATATATTTTATTGAACTTTCACAGAGAGGAAGGGAGAGAGATAGAGAGCCAGAAACATCGATCAGCTGCCTCCTGCACATCCCCTACTGGGGATGTGCCCG